TGCATGTGAATAAATACGCAATGACTACCTCTTAAAACGCACCAAATTTCATTTGCCTATCTCGACCGGTTTCTGAGCAATAAATACATATACCAGACGTCAGTTTTTAAGAAAAACTTTAACACCCCGTGTCTCGGAAACGAATCATTTTAATTTTTACTCCAAAGAATAAGTGTCTGAGCTTGAATAATCTGATTCATAAATATCATTCAGCGTAAAAAGTTGCATCAAATAATAATGAAGGGGAGGGAATATATAACCTACTTATTGTTCTCTCAGGTATCTTCTACTGTTTGTTAGTCTGGTGTAACGATTGTTCTTTATCCCATTCAGTAACCTGAAAATAAAGAGAATATTTAAATCGACGTTTCTCGGCCACAAATGGTTGCTCATCAGAGTTACTATCTTGATAGGACACACAGACCTAATTCACGACAACAAAGCGAGTCACTTGAACTTATCAAACGTTGTAAAGAACTGTATACTCGTTAATTAAGGCGCTAAAAGAAATGTAATTTTGTTTTTCAAATGTTCGGCAAATTTATATCAGAACTACTATTTTCATCAACAAATTATGTTATACAGCGTCTAGACCTGACGCGACGAGACCCCGATGTTATCAGTGTAATAAAAATAATGAAAACATTATTTGGAAAATTCGCCTCCCTGATCGCTCTAAAGATTGAAGTTTAATTAAAATTTCAGGTCTTTCCAGTTTTAGTAAAGTTTTCATTAAGCAATTATTTCTAGGCAAAAAAACGCATTATTTTTAATTTTACTTTAAAATATTGACAATCTCCAGGTATTTTCTGTGAAAAATTATAACATACATTTTATTGAAACTCTTTCCTCCGTAACCGAATTGTTGGAAAACCTTTTGCAGCTTCGAATTTTGGACAAAACCATTTTTTCTGGGTTTTTTCTTCCAAAGATATTTTACCGAACAGAAAAAGCGAAAGTCTCTAATCATTTATTTGGAAAACTCTTGGAAACTGGGATTTCTGCACTTTTAGGTCAATATTTCTAAACAGAAAAGCCGTGGTTTTTCTCAAGGTTTTACTGTAAAGTTCTGGCAAACTGAGTCTTTTATGCAAAAAAATTAATAGATCGATTTTACAAGAAAACTCATAGACTTTCTTCGGACCAAGTTCTGTTGCTGAGAAAATCTAGGTGTCCATTTTGAGTTGTTTGGACAAAGTAGTAAACCGTTACTCATAAAACGTTTTTTAGATGTTAAAATTCCGGTGTGGTGTCTCGTAACGCTTTAATAAATGACTTATAACTCATTTTCCTGAGTTATAACTCGTTAACTCAGAGCGTCAACAAGTCATTAGCGCAACTCAACACGGAACCGCAAAAGTGATCCTGATATTTAAATAAAACCAAGTTCATTAAAAAATTTGAAAAAAAGTTGTGGTAAAAATAAAATACGATACGATATGAAAAACACATACCATTTGGTTCTACGTTGTTGGGAGCTGCTGGACTTGGTTGCTGTGATCCGCTGGACTGAGCTCTACCATGAGAACTTTCATACTCCATGACCTCTTGATAGATTAATTCTTTCCATTGCTCGACAGTGTGCTCTCGTTCATCCACACTGTGATCGTACGGACCTGGCGCAGGCTATTGTATAAATAGGAAGGCAATTACCCCTCAACGCCTACATTTTCAACGAGATAACTACTTACAGCATTTACTTCTTGTTCATCATACCACACGTTAATATACGGATGTAACAGCGCTTCATCTACAGATATCCGAGACTGGGGATCGATTACAAGCATTTTGGACAACAAATCTCGCGCTTGTGTAGCCTGGAACAACAATATTTATTACTTTGTTGGCCTTTGCAGAAAATTACAGTCAATTTGTTATGTAAATTATTAACTGAAACACAGTCAAATAGCTAAAAACAAAATAGTTTTCATGTGTTAAAAGTACTAACTTTTTCAAGCATTTTTTTAAAAGCACTGTGATCGGTCAGTGGTTAACATCAGAAATAGAACATAAAATCACTTAGGTAAAATGATTAGATGAACAATCTGCGAAGAAGGCCGTACAAATGTATACTATACCGCAGTCACCTGAACCTCTTATAGATAGTAAAACCCACCGATCGAGAAAACGACATATGCTCAGACGGGAACTCACAATAGACATCGAGGAACGTTGAAGACGTAAAGTTGTTGAAAGAACAACTTGGTGTATGTCTGAATGAAATAAACTTACCTTTAACCTATTATGCTCGCTACTATCCGAAGGGAACAAAACATCGGGAAATAGCTTTTCAAATGTGAATCCAGGATATCTCGGTCGATTTTCTACATAGTTCCTTACAGTAAGTTGCAGTCTCACCATGAACTGTTGAGAAGGCGTTCCCAATTGTTCTGTAAATAAAACCATATTCAAATTAAAAACATTTTTAACTTTTAGTTTCGAAAGTTTGAAAATACTATGTAAGCAATATTTAATATCTGACCACCGTTTGTTTTATGTTTAGAGACAGTGTTCTTTAGAAATATTGACCAAAAAGTGAAGAAACCCCAGTTTCCAAGAGTTTTCCAAATAAATTATTATACCAAATAACTTTTTGTAAACTTTTGCTCTCTGGTCGTTTTTTTTCAAGATAATCTTATTTCTATCAGTAAAAAACTAAAGAAAATAATTTGGTTTTTCAGCCAAATTCGAAGCTGAAAATGATTTTCTCCGGTGCCTGAGATACATGTTCGTAGGAACTTACCAATAATCTTATTCCACTGATCAATATGATCAGTGCCCGGAAACAAAACTCCTCCGCGAATCATTTCCCCCATGATACAACCGACTGACCATATATCCACGTTTTCAGTATAGCCCATACCTAATATCACCTGCAATACGAAAAACATACGTTGTTTAATATTTATAAGGCTAATTTGAAATTTAATTTCACAACTTACTTCGGGCGCCCTATAATATCTAGTTACAACATATGGCGTCATCATAAACGTTGTTCCGGCTGTCCTGGCCAAACCAAAATCCAGAATTTTTAAAGTGCAATCCGACTTAACAACTATATTACTAGGCTTTAAATCCTGGAAAAAAGGAAAATGATTAAACTTTTAACTAAAAATTTGATCATCTACAAGTTATAAAAAATATATATTGACCTATTATTTTTTGCTACAAAATATTAAAGGTTTAACTATACTTTCAAATAAACCTTAAGTTTGCTGTATAACATAAGTCAACCTTGGTCGATTTAAAGTTCTTTTGCTCCTAAATAAATATTCCTTTTATCTTGTCATTTTTTTGAGAAAACAAAATATATACATGGTGATTCAAAATTGGCGTCCCTCCTTTTGAGGGGTTATAGGGGTTCACTTGGAGAGTACGAGAAAATATAGAAATTTAATGTGCTACTACTAAAAATACTTCATAATATTTAGCTGTATTGCATAATATTTAGCTGTGGAGTGTGTTCTAACCCACTGAGTACTCTCGGCAAGATTCAATGTGGAATGAACTTCACGATCAGTTTGATCTGGTGTGTAATCTTACGAACTAATAATTTATATCCACAACAAAGAGGCAACTTTGCGCAAACAACGGAAAACATCCTCTCAATCTGATAGTTTCAACAAAGCAGATTTTAATTTAGATAATTGCTTACCCTATGAATAATACCCGCTGAATGTAAATGCTTTATACCACACAGCATTTGATACAGTAGATAGCTCATTCTTTCGTGATCCAGATCCATTTGAATCACTTGACACAAGTTTGCATCCATTAGCTCCATCACCAGGTAGACATCTTGGAATTCTTCCAAAGACCTTTGAGGAGTGAATGCATTTAGAAGACCAATTATCTGAAAAAAACATACACAATAAGAATAAAAACCACACATTTGCCATTATGGGTGGATGTAGCTCTAGTAGGACTCTAATTGGACTTTAGAGCTTCCGATTTGTTGAGAAACGTTGGAATTTTGTGTTTTTTCAGCGCTAAGTATCCACATGTGCAAATAAATGATGTTTTTGTGATGTGTAGGAATTATCGTCTGTTTTTCAGTCCTCAGTCCAAAATGTAATAATGTGGGTAAAAAGGTTCAAGTCGAATTAATTTTTAGGATTGAAGGGCAAACAATGTAATAGTTGCCAGTTTACCATTTAAAACATCCAGAAAGAAAACACTTAAACGAGTGGTTGAAATAAGACAGTTGTCTTACCGTAACTACTTTAAGTACTGATCAATTTGGTCAAAAGAACTAATTTGGCAAAGTGTAAGAAAAGCTGACTTGATTGACGTGATTTCAAAATTGGCGACTGAAGCTTTCAAGAATAATTTAGATGTTTTCTCCTACAAAACAGACGTACTTGGAAAGTCTACAATTTTTTTTGTTATGAATAAACGTGTGAGTTTGAATAATGCAACAGAAAATAGTACTTTTTAGCCTGCGCTGAAACGTATATCAATTTTATCAAGTTTTCTTGCTCATTAAACTGTAACTTTAAATTAATTTTCCAACCATTATTAAAATCCCAACATTCCCAATCCCAACAGTAATTGGATGGATGGATTGGATTGTATAAAATAAACATACATATAGATTGGCGTACTAAAAATATTATTACTTACATTTTTGTGGTCAACTAATTTCATTAGTTTAAATTCTCGGTATGCTCGCTTTGCATGGGTCACATTCTGGAATGGTCTGCTCAGCTTCTTAATTGCCACGTTTTGTTGGGTTACTGTATCAATTGCAGCGCTAAAATAAGATGCGAAATTAATGCAAAAACGCATTTTTTACAAAACACTATAAAACTATAGTCAACATAGTTATTTGAATATGTAAAACAATATAACTAAAATGCTATAGTTAAACATTTGCATTCACTCAGCCAGACTATTTTCACACAAATGTTCAATTCATAGAAAGCATGAGGTTGTCAATTGGGACTGGAAAAAATAATTGCCTGCATATAGCTGCTCTATATTGGACGTATCCAATCGGGTATATCAAATTTTCAGCAATAAGTTTTGTAAGGGATGGAACTGACAAGCTACTATGGTTCTTATATTCAATAAGAGAAAATGAAAGTAATTCTTTATAAGAACGCCTATTTGTAAACAGTTGTAGAACTGAAAAATCTCTATTAGGAAAAATTGGAAGTAAAGCACGTATAACAAAACAATTTACTCCATATAAATACTATTGTTCAAAATGTCTACTTCAATATTGACCATATGTAAGTCTCATTGAAATACGATTAGCCAATCTTGTAAGAGAGGGAATTCACGTTTAGAGACGTGTTTGGAAGGATTATAAAAAAAACGAAATTTTGTTGCGGAAACAAAATGTGTGCGCAATTTAATCCTCACAGATTTTCATGCCAGCTATATTTTTTACGTTTTTGGATATCGAAAGATTGAAAACAACCGGAATTATAACCAGAAATTATAGCACTACTATTTAACCTTGGTTTATAGCTCGTTGACTAACTAATTAACTAGAGCGCGTTTGGCAACACTCGAATAATCTAGTTCAATCATGGAATATTCCCTATTCCGAATCCGTCGATTTGTCTCGAACTTTCAGTGGTCATCTCGCAAATTAGTGAAAAAACAGGAAAATGATGCAGACTAGTAAGTAGCTCTCAAGTGAAAAAAAGAAGAGGAATCAAATCAATGGTATGATTCAAACGGTAAAACAGTAATCATTAAAGCTCGACAAACGATCTTTCGACTGAGAAAAAGTAGGTACACACATGCAAAGAAAAATAATACAAAAAAGGTAGAGAGGAAAGTAATTCTTAATAGGAAGAAGAGTAAGGAGCCGGATCCAAGCATCATAAAAACTAAACATACTTGCACAAGTAGTGATGGAAGCCAAGACGAAAATAAATACATTACCTGCATTAAAATTTGGAATTCACAAGCAAGCGAAAAAAATAGAAACAAAAATGTTGCCATTAGCAGGGAGCGTCCTGAACGCTAATAACATTAAATAAATAATGAAAGTGAAATGCTAAAATCGATATCGATTTGTGCACAATGCATAAAGCAGTTGTTTGTATTTTATAAGTTTAATTTCTAATTTTTTTATTCGAGAGCTTAGAACTACTACGCGGAATTGGGAAATCATTATTTAAACTGATGGTCCATAAAGTCCACTGACGTTCAAAAACGCTTGAAAGAGTGTAAAATTAAAACCACAACTTTTCATTTCGCTTTCCGTAGACGCAGATAAAAAGTTAAATTTTCAAATAAACGGCAACGATACAGCGCAACGAGCCAACTGCAGAGAAAACATGAAAAATACGTGGATGAGCATTGCGGTTCTGCAACTAAAATATGAAAGGATAACGTATGTAGTAGAATATTGAAGCAATATTACAATGACTAGAGTCAGAACAAAGCAAACATCCGATAATTTTAATCTCCAACAAAATATTAAGCACAATTAAACTCTGGAAAATGATGAGAGGTCAGAAACTCAGATTGTTAGATATATTATTACCCGCATAGTAATGCAAGGTATACTGCATATTGACGAGGCCAAATTACGTGATCGATTTGACCGTACGAACTTAACAAGCTTGTTTTCTTTGGATGCTGAAGACCGTCAAAAATTTCTAAAATAATAAATCGTAATTTTTTGAGAAATCTGCGAGGACATGCCTCATTTTGGACCTTAGACGTATTTAAAAACGTTTTTTGGACTCATATCTTCTTTCTCAGACAGTTGTTTTTCGAAGGCACATTTTAAAGTCATTTCGTACAATGTAAAAGGCTAAAACATAATCTTATGACACTTTTTTAAAAAATTGCCCCAAAAAGCCTCTCTACTTTTTCAAAATTATGAATAATTGATGCTTTGAACATGAAATTGAAATTTTAAATCGTCACATTTTTAATGAAGATTTTCAAATTTGATTTGATTTAAACAACACCCTGCATACGCCGTACGAGAAAGGTAGAGATTAACGAAACCGAATCTATCTATAAATTGACTTCCTTCGTTTTAACATGTTACTAAAGCTTACCTAGCAAGAACGGAAACATTTTTTTTTTATTATTTGAGTTCGTTTTTTTATTTATTTAAGAACATAAGTAGTATTCATGGAAGACAATGCTTGACAGAGCGAGCAGTGAGAGCTGAGTGAGCAACAAAATTTAAAAATTGGAAGAAGCGTTTGGAAGTCGTTCCCTCAAAATCTCGAAGAGTACAGTAATAAAGCTCATTAAAAATCCGTTCGATTGGACCATGTATTGGCAGTTTGAAATCACTCGAATCGTCTTGAAAACTACGTAGTTTCAAGAAAAGTTTCACCGAATGTCGCAAAGTTTCGAAAAGAATTCGACCTGTTTTTGAATGTTCCCAGTATCACTCCTAGCAAAGTTTTCTAAATGTGTTGCCTCTGATTTAATAACCTTGGGAGATTTATACTGGGCTGCTAAACTGTAAACTGGGTAACACTGTGTTGAGTTGCGCTATTGAGTTGTTGCTGCTCTCTGAGTTAACGAGTTATAACTTAGCGGTTAATGAGTTATGTCATTGATTAAAGTGGACTAAAGCTTTACGAGATCTCAGACCGGAATTTTAACATCTAAAAAAAGGTGATCAACATTTTTGATTTTTTTGCATAAAAGACTCAGTTTGCCAGTATCTTACAGTAAATCGTTGGAAAAAAACTCGGTTTTCCTGTTCAGAGAGAATTTTGTTCAGAAATATTGACCTAAAAGTGAAGAAACCCCAGTTTCCAAGAATTTTCCAAATAAATGATTATAGACTCGCTTTTCTGTTCGGGTAAATATTTTTGGAAAAAAAACCCAGAAAACATTACCTATTAAGATTTTGTCCAAAATTCGAAGGTGCAAAAGATTTTCCAACAATTTTTGCAAAGCTGTTAAGGAGGAGAGAATTCCAATCAAATTTAATATATTATTTTTCACAGAACATACCTGAAGATTGTCAGTATTTTCAAGTCAAATTAAAAATACTGCGTTTTTTGCGTGGAAATAATTGCTTAATGAAACACTTTACTAAAACTGAAGACCTGAAATTTTAAATCGTCACATTTTTAAGGAATATTTTCAAATTTGATTTGATTTAAGCAACCCTGCATACGCCGTACGAGAAAGGTAGAGATTAACGAATTCGAATCCATCTATAAATTGAGTTCCTTCGTTTTAACATGTTACTAAAGCTTACCTAGCAAGAACGGAAACATTTTTTTAAATTATTTGAGTTCGTTTTCTTATTTATTTAAGAACATAAGTAGTATTCATGGAAGACAATGCTTGACAGAGCGAGCAGTGAGAATTTGAGAGAATGGATCAGGATACAGGACGTGGAAAGGTAGTAAGGAACAAAAGAAAATGATAGAGGAAACAAATAGAGAGAATGCTAAATGACAATCTGGATAAAAGTTCTTAACAAAATAAACCTGTARGAAGGAGAGCACGAGAAAAAAATACCAAAACRAGGGAGAAAATGTTAGTTACATAAGGAAATGAAGWAACATTTGTTTCCCGAAAACATTAGTCCTTRATCATTTTCTACCTTGCTATTAAGCAATATTTTTAAGTACRGTCTGTCTCAAGCTATTTGGCAGTGAYGTCATTATTCGAGAAGTTATAGTAAAATCGACTTCTATCCGAYATTGGTTCGAAAGATTTTCTGAACAGGTATTTGGTATTTACGTAATGCACCGAAGGCAACATGTATTTACGTTGATATATGTTAATAAGGCAGATCGAGCAATCATTACTGTGCCAATTGATCCAAGATATCAAGCGTTCTTGGCTACCAGACAGGCAAGAAAATCGTTGTAGCAGTAATAGTTGCAGCAGTGGYCATTCTTGTTCGTTTTGAAGCAGCACCAATAAGATAGATTAAGACGTAGAGGAATGAATCGWTTTAGAGAGCAAGTGCATGTGTCAAATTCTTTTATCGTTCTTACATATAATATTCACCAGAAAGAATATTGATAAGAAAATTCGTGYCGTTCTTATTACAAGATTGATATGATCAGATATTCAACAATACCATTAATGCAAAACTGACAGATTTCCAAGACKSTTTTAGAGAAACAATATGAAACTAGAGCTTTATGATGGAACATAAGAATTACGTCATATCTATTTTTCAATAGGTAAAATAAAAATTGAATGAACTGAATTAACACATTATTTTTGGACATTGAAAATCATCCTGCCGTACTTACCATACTAAACCTTGAGCACCTCCACCCTTGGGTTCCAAGTTTGTATATCTATCGGGTACCCAAAATTCAGTACCTTCAAAGGTATATAGAGTGAAGCCTTCGCGTATACTCATTGTGCTAAGCTTGATTGTACGTACTGTGGATATTGAGGAAGGACGGGATGGGAAACGGTGCCGTGTATAAATTAGGTTACGAGAAGATCATGAAAATTAAAAATCGTCTAATCCAAAATATGTCTTCTAGATTGGAAAATTAAACAATATTGTTAAAACAAATTCAGTTCATTCAGGTAAGATTTAGAACGGGCATAGAAACAAGGATGGAGGATTGGGTAAATATACGATCAAAACACCACTAGGTCAATGAACACGAAAAAGGCAAACGCAATCCAAATCAACTACAAAAAAAAATCAAAATAAGCGAATAAAAATGTTACAAATCCCAGTTAAAAACAAATCAATAATGTACAATATCTGAATTATCAATACAAAAAACGCATGCACGATCTAGTCCACAGCGTGAAACAAAATTTGGGAACGTATATACCTCGTACACCGATAAAAATTTATTTTTATAGATCATTAGATAGAAAATCGAATTCTGGATTCGCTTAATTATATTTTAATACGAGTCCAATAAAATGCAATAATATTTTGTGTTCAGAAATAATGTTTAAAAAATTTAAGAGGTGATTCTACGTGTCAAGTTCAAATACTTAGTAGTTTTCCGAAATTCTTAAAATAAGCTGCATCTCGCCATTTGGACATTAAGGAGTGAATGTAAAATTTTCAAGCAAAGAAAGAAGACATTTAAGAAAAAGTATTTTAAAAATCCCCATGCAGCTCCTTTATTTTTAAGATTTCTAAACCCTTCTGTCTGAACTTGAGACGTAATTTCACATGTAAAATCATCCCTTCACCTTCAATCTCATTTGAAAATAAATCTAAATCAGTATTGCATTGCTAACAAGCTGTGTAGGAGCGGTAAATTGGCCATTTCGATTGTTTATTTGACGTACATGGTTAAACTGAAAAAAATTAAATCATTACAGCATTTGGGAAGTTTTGTTACACGCTGTTTCTAAAACTCGGCTACTTGCTTACAAGATAATTATGCTGAAATTCGCGTTTATATTACATACCATACATTTATATTTAGGGTATTAGAGGTTTCACTAAAATGACTACATAAATAATATAAATTGCAAGCAAGCACTAGGGGGTGAAGATTGAGACGTCTTGAAATTGGCTATTGGGTGCGGGCAAATCTGTTTTGAATTGCATCTTTACGTTCTGCTACAGCGAATGCTTAAACAGCATGCCGCTAATGCTATCAAATGTTTCATACCTTTCAGTGGTTGGAGGTTTTTAAAAGCATAATTTATTGTTGGTATTTTTATACGCTTGACAAAACGCTTGAAAAAATGTCGATCAGGAAAATTTGAAAACAAATCAGATAAACATGGGTAAGTTGAAAACTTAGTTCTTTATTAATATCTTTAAAACTACAATACATCCATGTGCGAGACAAACTAGACTTGAACCAGAATGTCGTACTTATATCACACAGTATATGCTTGCGTTTATTTGAAAGACATTTATTTTGAAAGCACTGGCTTTTCGTGTTTTTATGAATAAGCAATATGCGATAAATGTTCGAATGAACTCACCAAGCACTGTTATTCTTATTTATGGAGTTCAGAAACGTCGTGATATAGTATTGAACTTTGAAAAACGTATTCTAGAAAATGGAACAACACACTAAAACTCAATATAAGTGTACTGTTTATTACAGCTTTATCTGAATATTACATAAAAACGGCAAAAACGATGGGAAGTTATACAAAATGACCAAGTTTTGTGAGACTTTAAGGGCATATTCTACACTGGAAACTTTTACAAACATATATATGCTCCCTCAGCACCTATTTATTATTTTATTTAGTAACGCCGACGGGAAAAGAAATGAAACTTGGTACACATAGTAGGCCTTAACAAGCATAGCGAGAACCCATTGAGACAAACTTGCCTAAAATAGATACCGAGGAGATTCAAAAACTCTTGAATCTTTTGATATGGCAACTTTGAGGAAACATCGGACACTTTTCGTTAAATTACACACACGCAAAATTTAAGTAAAACAGTGTGTCTAGAAACTTTTAGAAAAAGCAATAGGTTTCGAGTGAATTCAAAGTTTGAAGACCTACATGTGCATGACCAAATCGACATACCTTTTCAATAGCCTTTATTACTTAACTCTGCGAGTCTCTGAGGGAAAATTCTACGACCGAAAACCAATTCCAAAATCCAACAAATCCCAAAATTTAAAAATTGGAAGAAGCGTTTGGAAGTCGTTCCCTCAAAATCTCGAAGAGTACAGTAATAAAGCTCATTAAAAATCCGTTCGATTGGACCATGTATTGGCAGTTT